TATTCTTATCATTATCATTATAATCATCTTCATTGTCAATATTAGTCTTATCATGTTACCATTATAATAATCAGGATTATCACTGTCCTAATTGTTCTTCCTATTATTGTCTCACAAACATAATTAACATTATCTCTGCTATCACTACTTTCCAGAGAAAGAAAGTATCAATAGGTCCCTGATCCCATGAAATTTTATTACAATCTCTCAATAACTTTTTCGCGCAATTCTGTGACAATTGGGTAAGACATTTCGAAAAGAAAACGGAGATTAGACCGGATCGAATGTCCCCGTCGGCCGTAGAAAAGAAAATCCGTCTCTCAGTTTTAAGAGAAAAGGAGAGAACTTTGCATAAGGTCAGGTGATTTATTATGAATATCGTTATCCTTATTCTTATTATTATTATAATTATCTTTATCCCGGTTATATTTATCATTATTTTTCTTTAACATTTATCATCATTATCATCATCATCATCATTATCATTATTATCATCGTCATCATCATCAATGTTAATGTTATCATTACCATCAGCAAGATCATAATCACCATGGGTATGTTTATCATCAATTAAATTATCATAATTATTAGTGTTATTATCACTATCATTATCAACCATTTTTTCGTTATTGTATTTTGATATCAATCAAACTTTTTGGGGGGAGGGGGGAGGCATTATGATTTATTGTGATAATTGAAATTATATACATTACTTTCAATACAAGTATAATATTAATAATTTCACTATCGTCAGCATCGTTATCTTCCTCGTACGCGTTATTATTACTATATTACAATTGATAAAAAGATTTAGATTAAATTAATGAACTTTAAATGAAAATAACAGGCTTCCATCATAACTACCATAAACACTTTGTGCTGTTTATCAAAATAAAAATCCTTCTTTTCCATTTTCAACCAGAAAAAAAAAATAAAATAAAAAAAACTCCATTGCAGCAAAAAAAAGGGAAAAAAAGACAACAAAGTTACACGGAAAACAATTTCACTCTGGCGGCGTTTGACCGAAAATCCCGACCAACTTCCCTCGCGCAGAAAAGCCGAATAAAGCCGCGGTTAAGAGGACAGCCGGGCACAGGCTCCCGAAGGCAAGGCCGATTTAAGAATAGAGAAATGGAGGAGGGAATAAGCAGATGAAAATATAGAGATGTATACACATCCCGTCCCCACTCTCTCTGTTTGTTTGTCTGTCTCTCTGTCTCTCTGTCTCTCTGTCTCTCTGTCTCTCTGTCTCTCTCTCTCTCTCTCTCTCTCTCTCTCTCTCTCTCTCTCTCTCTCTCTTCTCTCTCTCTCTCTCTCTACGTTAATTAGGATTGTAAATAGATGAATGTGATGATGACGTTTATCTGCTTAATTTGTCTTTTAACAACTTATTTCCTTTCCTTTGTATATTGCAGGTGTGCCGTTGGTGTTCATCGTGGCGTGGGCGGTCACCATGTCTCTCCATTACCCCGTCCATTGCTGGGAGGCGTATCCGACCCTCAAATATACATGGATTCTGGTCGCGCCCATGGTCACCGCGCTCATGGTAAGCTCTCATTATTCGGCATGTGGGTTTATTTTTATTATTGCTTTTCCTTTTTTGTGGTTATAATGCTAAAGGTGAGTATTCGTAAAACGTGCAGTTTTTCATGGTATATTTTACTCTCTCGTTGGCGATTTTTCCGGTATATTCTTTAGTCATCTGCCAATTTTTTTATGCCCTTAGACTAATCAGGAAGGGATATAAAATAATGCGAGGGAGAATATGATTTGATAAGTGAGGGGAAAATGCACTACGATGTTGTTGTTTTTTTATCATTAGTTAGAGTGAACTTTTGCCGTAAGACTTTTATCATTATGGACAGTGAAATCGAATCATGGCAGGGATTATTTCATTTATTGCTAAAAGAGAGATTTCCCTACGAGATTTCCCTAATAATTAAGAGAGATTTCCCTACATTTCCTAAAAGAGAGATTTCCCTACGTTATTGCCATATCGAAAACTTTCTTTTATATAGCGTTCTTGTATGTCAACGGACTTATAGAAGATCTAATAACGATCACAACACATACCTTTTGTGGCTCCCAAACATTAAGCATAATTCTTCAACCATTCATTTCCCTTATTCAACAACACCACCAACAACAGCAATAACAACAATAACAATAATGACAGTAATAAAAATGAATATGATAATAATGTTTATAATTATGATAGTAATATTCGTTTTACAAAGTCCAAATAGTGACAATAATGATAATGATAATAACAATAATGATAGTGACAACAATAAAAAAATATCAACAACAACAATGATAATAATAATGATAATAGTAGTAGTAGAAGTAATATTGATAATAATGATAATAATAATAACGATAATATTAATAACGATAATAATAATAACGATAACATTAATAACGATAATAATGATAACGATAACAGTAACAACAACAATAATAATAATATCTGTGATCATTGTACTACCTAACTATTCTC